AATTATCATCTGAATGACAACACGGCCCGGATCAATAGTTCCCAGTCGCAGTTTGAAGATCACAGATAAGAAGCCACCTTGTTGTCAGAGAGAAAATGCTAATGTAATTAATGTCCATTAATCCTCTGGCAAAGGATCTGGGTGGTGATATTAGGGGAAGATATTTACAGCAAACATGGAGAGAAGGGGGGAGCACCACATGGTGGAAAACAAGATTTTTGGAGTCTCTTGCAGATTGTTTACGCTGACTAGCTGTAGGCCATGATAAATTAGAGTAAGAGTGTAAAGCAGAAGCAGCTTCCTGCCGTGGCTGCAACTCGTGACGAGGTCAGTGGGACTCTTTAAAGAGGTGTTAGGACTGTAGCGCCCTAGCAGCACGTGTGTGGCCGCCGCAGTAGATGCTCGCTGCAGGAGTCCCTGCTGCCATCACACACATGCTGCTTAATTACACTTCATCATAACAGCATTATCTGCATTCAGAAGTTGTTTTATCTCTTTAACAGACAATATTGGTATTTTGTTTCCTATCAGACTTTAATATTCAAGGCAATGACATTTTTTACTTTATATTTGTTTTTACTTTTCCTTTCAATCTACTTTTAATCTTATTTTTTTATTATTATTTCCACACATATTTTTCAAAGTAATTCATACCTTTTTAGGCAAAACCATTTATAGAATCTTGCAAAATACAGTATATATCACTTTTTTTTTTTCCCAAAACAGACCTCAGTTAAATGTTTAAGATTTTTTTTGAAGGTCAAACTACAGTAGAGCTTAACTAAGTGGGAAAAAAACAGGAAACTTTGTTCAGGTAACTCTTTGCACATCTAGAGACTGATCCCTTTGTATTGATTTTTTTTTTTTTTTTTTTGTGAAATAGCTCACGCACAGAAAGTGTTCATAAACATGTTACTGGTCATTTGTTGGGGTTTATGTCAGGACTTTGACTTGGCCATTCAACCATTCATATTTATTTTTCTCCAGTAAAACCCAGCAAATTATACCATTGCTATGTTTTTTTGAGGGGATTTCATGTTCAGATTTATGTCCAATTTTCTATGGCCACCAGCTAAGCGATTTGAAAAAATGATCCCCAGTTTTAAAACTCCTTTGACATGTGTCCTCTGTCCATTTCATTGCTTCTTATGGCCCTCTTTCAAAAGTGGCTTTCTAATCACCAAATATGGGCAAAACACAGCTAATTTATGCCCTGTCAGCAAGTTCTCTGCAGGATTTTGGCAGGTTTTAAAGAGTTGCCATGGGCCTCTGATTAATGCCCAGTCTGTGGGTTTAGGTGGGCAGTCATGTCCTGGTATGTTTGCAGTTGTATAATACTCTCTTCACTACCGGATGATGGTTGAAGCATTGCTCTTTGGGATGTTTACAGCTATGTATATATTGTGTTATTACCTAACTCTACTTTGAGCCTCTCCACTACTTTTTCTCTGACCTTTCTGTTTGTTCCTTTGTCTTAACTTTGCTGTTTGTTTGTTAATGTTCTCTAACAAACAATAAAGCCCTTTAGACAACACCTGCATTCATAGTAGCTTCATCTGGTATGTTTTTGTTTGGCTGTCACACCATCTTTTAGAGAAATATCAGCTGTGCTGCTGCCATCACCACCTTTGTTTATAGATGTTCCAGCTCGCCCTGTTTTTCAGTGTAGTCCTGTTTCTCTGAGTGTGATTGGCTGGTTGTGCTCTCTTTGTCCTCTGACATGGGAGCTGGCTCTGAGCTTTTTCTGCCTGGCTGTTTGTTTCCTGTATGGGTCTGCCTGCCCTTTTATATCTCTGCTTCTTTTTATATGTCTGCTTTTGTCTCCTTGAACCCCAGTCAGCCTCAGCAGATGGCAGCTCACACTGAGCCTGGTTCTTCTGGAGGTTTCTTCTTGTTAAAAGGGAGTTTTTCTTCTCCACTGTCACTACAAGCATGCTTAGTGTGAGGTACTGCCTTTGAGTCAATGAGTCGATGCACTCAACTGGTTTTCCTTAGATAGAAAACTTTGAACCAGTCTGACTGCATGATCTGGTTAAATTGTAAAGTGCCTTGAGATGACTTGTGATATTAATTGGCGCTATATAAATAAACCGTATTGAATTGAATGGTGAGATTAAATAAGGGCTAAAACAAGCTTAGTTTAATCGGAATTGATTGCTTATTTAAATAATCAACAACTAATTTAGTAACGGATTAATTGTTAACTGGAATATATAGACTCTAAAACATACATATAGCTGACAGAGTGACCCACTTAGAGCAGTACTTATACCAAGATTGTAAAAAAATATATTCAATATATAATATAAAATAAATATATAAATTTGAATTTAAGATTTAAAAAAAATTGTCAATATGCTCTTTCAAGAACTTCGTAAGTGGAAAAGTTTGAATTTCACCTAATTTAATTTCATAAAAGTTCTTCTTTCAAGACTGGCTATCCAATTATTAATCGATTAATCGAAAAACTAATCAGCAGATTAATCTATTTGCTAAATAATCGTTAGTTGCAGCCCTAGATTTACTGCTGTGTTCCTCGTTATTAGGTCATTTTAGGGAGTGTATTACCAGTATTTCTCTTCGGTTTTATACTAACAGGCAAGGTGACAAAGGTTTGTGGTCAATGCCTGAGCGATGTCTGTGAATAAAAGCCTTAGTACCAAAGGGTTATTTTGGTTTTGTTCCAGATGCAGAGCATCTTATTGTTAATCGGTTCACTTCCTCTGCTGCTGTCTCGTAGCTGATAACGACCCTGACCTCCCAACAACACAAACACTCTGAGCCTTTCTGCCCCCGTCATCCTCCTCCTCTTCAAGGTGCAAATTTCACAACTCTCTGTCTGACTGAGCTCATGATTAACTTGATAGTTTTTTCCTTTTTTTTATCTTCAGATCCACAGTTCACCACATTGCTTCCCACAGAGGCAATAACAATTTCTCTGAGAAGTTTCAGTCTTCATGATTCAAAATTATAAACCCAGCAGGAATCAATGATGATCCTACTCTTGTTTTTCATGCAAAGATGAATAAAGCAGGTTGCGTGGAAAGAAAAACCTGCTAAATTAAAACTATTTTGGTGTAAAATAATGCCATCTCCTTTTTAGATTATTCTATTACATATTACATGATCTATAAGAACTGAGGAGGGGAAGAAAGGAAGCCCTGTTCATGTGTGGGAGGAAGTATTCGTTTAAAGATGGAGGGAGATGGAGCAATACATTTTATTCCTTGTGCGAGGTAAGGGCCATATTGCCCACCATTAACAGAGCATCACGTCGGCACGGGCAGATAATTAAGTAATCCATGAAAGCATGAGCAATGTGGGACAATCCACTAACATTCAGTGCTCCTTTGCCACATAAAAACCCTCGCAACCCTCCCACCTCCACCCCGCGACATCATTTTAAATTAGACCGGAAAATATTATTGCATTGTGATTTGAAACTGCTGCTGTGGTGGAAAATGTTCTGCTCACAGCCCCAAACTAATGATTCCAGAGAGATGAGCTCATTTTAAACATGCTCGTCGCCTGTCACACTTTTCGGATCCATTCCTTTGTAAACTTTAGGTTAATATTTATTTGAGCATAGAAGATTTGTTTTGGGTGGTTTTGTTTTCATGCTTTTTAGGAGTCATGACTAACAGCTGTACCTACATCTAACAAATGAGTTGGATGAATATTTCCTAAATGAATATTTGATCATTTTATGTTTTAACACTCTTTAGAGGCTTTATCTTAACTGCTACACTAAAAAAATACTTGATTGATTGAAATATTATCTGTTAAGCTTATTTTGTGAATGGCATGTTTAGTGGTGTTTAAATTTCAACAGCGTTAACAACTGAAATAAACATTTTGATTAAAATCAAGCTAAAGATATTGGTTTAGATACATCAGCCCCTGTGGTGCTGTTGCGCTATAAAGATTAAAACAGTTACAGTAGTATGTTTAAAGGAGTTGTATTATAATTTAGTATATTGATTTAGAGAGAGTATAACATTTAACAAGACTTGTGGGTTATAAAATATTGTAGGTTGGGAAGGATTTTATAGTAGGACAGCTAACCAGCTTTGAATCACAGATGAACTCGCTAAATTTAATAGCCAGCTGAGTTTTTAGCATCTTAATGCCGGATGTCCCCATGTAAGAATAAAGCCTAAAAGTTTATGACTATTTAGGTAACTCTGTATATAGGTTTTATTCACTAATGAGGGAGAAACTAGAGCAAACCTGATATTAATCAGCTAAAAAATAGTTATTTGACAAAATAAGCCATCTAAATTTTTGGGAATTTGCATGATCTAAACCAGTAATTTTAAAATTATAAATAACACTTACAGCATTAATACATTTTAATATATTAATAGGCTTGTTTGTAGGAATTGAAGGAATAAACAACATTTTCATTAATCTCACATTTTTCTATTAAAATATTTGACTTGCTCTGGTCTAATAATCTAATCTTATATGTTGGGGTTTCATGGGTATGTGGAAAACCATAAATTTTTTCCAAAAATAAATCTTTAAAATTGTCAGACTCGATGTATTTAATCTATACTATGTGTTTTACTTCGAGAACTGAGCTACTTTTCAAGAATATTCTAATTTATTCAATATCATTTTTACAGTTGTACAGCATGAAAAAAGCAATTAACAAAACAAACAAAACTTCACACTGATAAACTGTTAGAAATGTTGGACTGAATTTTGTTATATAAAATCCATAACATTTTGGATAGATTTTATTTCATTTTTTTCAACAGAACTTTTGTAAGTTTAACAACTGCAACACACTAAAATAAATCAATAAGTTTCTATTGTGATGTTGAATTCAAGTGAATTTCGTTTTAAATAAATAATTAGTGACTTTACATTTCATAGTCTTTAATAAATGTGTATTTTCAAAGGGGTCATGTTTCTCACACAATAAGTGCAGGTCCTCCCTGAGCACCACATGCAGGGCCTTAAACGCTCCATGTTCTGTGTTTGGGTAAACTGCGTAACAAATTAAAGAAAAAAGGCTTGAGCCGGAGACAGAGAGTAAACTCCCTCTTGGACAATACCTTCCTGTATTATTAATGCTGAGCAGCACTGGTCCTGGCGTTGTAACCTGCAAAAGATGGGGGAACATGCTCATTGATGATATCAAGGTGACTGAGCACACACAGAGCAGCGGGCCAGCTGCTGTTCAGGCAGCACGATGGAGTTCACGCTGTGGACTAGGTGCCTGACTGCATAATTGGAAATTATTAAACAAGGCTCCGGCAGTGAGGTGATCATGAAATTGTATTTTCAGTCTTGAGGGATGGAAGCACGAATTAAAACGTTGCCATTTGTTAGGAAGCGGGGAAAAACAAATTGAAGACTCTTGTCTTAAGATGTCCCATGATCCTATTTCTTTTTAAGAAACAATGGATAGGCATTTGAACGTGCAGGGGAGATTGATGATAGAGAAGGCTGTTGTAAATTGTATGTAGTTGTACAATTTACGACGATAAATATTTCAGCAGCAAGTCAACCAACATGATGAAATACAACATAAGATGTCAAATTTTCTACAACTGAGGCAACCAAACAGTCAGCCAAGACAAACTGGCTTTAAAAAAACATCAAACAGGATGCAATATTGAGGATAGTAAAATGATAAGTTTTGGATCTTCAAAATTCTTCAGTAGTCATGATGACTGTATTAATATCTGAGCAAAATACAAAAATCTAAATACGGTAAAAGAATAAACAATTCAAAAAGGAAAACATATTCAGAATGATCTAATGAAAAAATGAAAAAGTAAGTATTATACTTACTGTTGCAAATAAATAAATAAAATATATGTATATATATTATCACAGCTAAAATATCCAGAGGAAGATGAAATGCAGAACTGCTTAGTTCTACGTCTTATAGTTTATTGTTAAACTAAATACATGTATTTTTGCTGTTGTAAGCAACAAACAAAAGCAAAATGTTACAGAATTGTATCTGTTTTTATCAAATGTCAAAGTTCTTAGGTAAATATCACTTTCAAGACATAATATTTTTTGATTTCTTTATTTTCTTAAGCCTGTTCTATTTTCCCATGCAAATCGTCCTGTTGTCCTCCAAAGTGGACATGCAATGAAATTAAAATAAAAAATAGATTTAAAAAAATTAAAATTGTAATGTGGTTTTTTTTAGGTCCAAATACATGAGAAATCACTTTTCTTCGGTCTCCCAAGGATATATGTGTGTGTGTGTGTGTGTGTGTGTGTGTGTGTGTATAACTAGGCTTTTGTTGCTTTTTCTGAGGACGTTTCAACACCTAACATCCAGGAATGTTATTGTTATGCATCAATGCAATCAATTTATTCCTGTCACTGTCAGTGAGACTTCTGCTCCTCTCAGCAGCCAAGAACTGCTCCAGTTGTCTTGAGTTTGAAAGGTTCCTTTTCCAGACTTCTTTCAGCTCCTTCCAAAGATGCTCAATAAGCTTTAGGTCAGAGCTCATAGAAGGCCTTTCCACAATCATCCAAAGTTTTCCTCATAGCCATTTTTGGGTGTGTTTAGCTTTGTGAGGATCATTATACTGTTGCAGATCCATGACCTGAGACCAAACTTCATACAATATGCAGCACATTTTTTTCAAATATCTAGGATTTAGGTTTCTCAGTATCTCAATATGCTTAACTTTTCCCTCTGTGAACATATAACTGATGTGCCTTTGTCTCACCTGTCCATTGGACATTCTTCCAGAAGCTTTGTGTTTTCCCAACATGTTTTTTGGTAAATTCCAGTCTGCCTTTTTTATAATTTATTTTTCAACAATGAGGTTCTACTTTGGTTTCTCCCATTAAGTGTAATTTGGCTCAAACAAAGACAGATGGTGCGATCTGACACTGATGTTACTTAAGCTTTAGGTTCATCATTAAATTATCTAGAAGATTTTATGGGCTCTATGCTGCCATTCATAAATTCCATCTCTTGTTATCTTCCTCCTGCTGCCACATTCAGGGAGGTTGGCTATAGTAGCATGCATCTTATATTCCTGATTAATCTATTCAACTGTATTCACAGGAACTTCAAGCTAATTCTCAATAATTTTCTTTCTGAACTGCTGAGAGAACACCATGTCACCAAACACCGCAGCGACTACATGTATCCCTGTATAAAGGCCCACTGACTGATTACAAGATTGTAGACCCCTGTGTTGTTAATTAGTGGACGCACCTTGATTGAACATGTCACTTTGGTCACATTATTTTCAGTTTTTTAAAAGGGGTATCATCAATTTTGTCCGGGCCTGTTACACAAGTTTATTTTTCAAAATCATTGTGATGAAGCATGGTTGAAATGCAATTTCTGACTTACATTTAGTTATTTTCATTGCATTTTAATTTTTTATTTTATATGTTATTGCTATGACCATTGCACCATTGTAACCATTACATTGTTTTTCTTGGTTTACTAATAGATTACATAGTTAAACAAAACAATGTTTAAGTGTTTAACACATGGCTCACAAGGGTGAATTATTCTGACCCAATGTGACAGACACATTAAGAAATAGATCCTAAAAAAATATTTGTAGGTATTTGAACTTAGTGTCTCTTCATTCACTTTAATGTATTGTGAAACTAGTGAATATATAGTATTGGGTTTTCCAGTCACCTAGCTGACACAGTATCAGATAAAACTGGGTATCAACATGCTGATAAGACAAGTGAGACTGTGCTTTGAATTAAACACCTCAAAGGGGGGTATTATTCTAGCTGTTCATAGGTGTTTCCTGTAAGGAACAGCTGTGCACAAGATTTACCAGTAGCAATAAAAAACACTGTTTCTTGACCCCACATTCTTTGGGTTAAAAAGCCCTATCAGGAGGCTATGCATTAGTGTGAACAAATACTTTTTTTGAATTTGTTGTAATTACTCTATGTATTTACCATAAGTTTTCGCATGACATATCAGTGACAGTATTCAGCTTGCTCTGCTGTCTTGGTGATACCGTCACTCAAAAGTTTGGCTATTGCATTTTTGAATAAAGAGATCCACAAGTGCTCTTCTGTAGGAAACATGCCATGTTACAAGAGTATGAAACTTCTTTATTCTCATTCTCATGCCATCTGCAAGGGGAGGAGGTAGCACTGCTATGCAAAGATGTGTGCCAACTAGGAAAGATATAGTTCCGCTTTTAGAGAATTTTATATTTCTTAATATTGAAATGTGGGTTATTTTGACTCACTACAAACCCACAAAGTACAGCATCAAAGCAGTCCATTGTTACGGTGAATCTAAACATTCTCATATTACAATAAAAATGTGATATGTTTTTAACTCCACTAAAGCAGTCATGCTTTATTACTGACTAAATACACATGGGTTATTTCATACAGAGTTTTGTCATTCCATCCAAAAGCAACATTCAGTTTCTTCAATCTGAGAAAACAAAAGAAAAAAAGCATTCAAATAAATCTGGCAGCTTCTCAGCAAATATGAACTCTTTGGTTAATCTTTTAAAGACACTAAATCCCCAAACTCCCATGCTATGGATTAAAGATATACATAAAACCTGATTTACATTTAGACAAACCATGTAAAAGCCTTTTAAAGTGGAAGGAAAATGTTCATTTCGCAGCTATAATGAATCTTGTGACCAACAAGCAGATGCAGCTGAACTCATCAACCTTCTCAGTTAATCCCAAATGTTGGTGAGCTTGTGTTTTTGCTGTCTTGTCTCAAAGTGTTTGTCTCTGCTCTGTGTGCCGTCTGCATTTCCTTCCTGTTCTTTGTTCTTCCACTAAACATATCTTTAAGTCACCCTACGTATCGCAACGGGACGCATCTAAAACCCCACCCCCAGCAATGTTTCATATACTACTACTTCAGAGTGCGTAGTATAAGATCTGAAGTGTTGGTTTGTGGTTTTTGTTGTTTTGTTTTTTTGTTTTTGAAGTTGGGAGGTACAATAAATGCAAGTGTTTGTGTAATACAACTCACATACACACCAGACACCTGTAATGCTACCAGCAGGGTATGCAGGATACTATAGAGAAAAGCTTTTCAGGTGGGAAAATATCTGAGCAACTTGCTGGTTATGACACACGATAGTTCAAAACTTTATCTACTTCTCCCATTCTTTTGTTGTATGCCTGCTTTAATACCCCCTCATCCACCCACATATGGAAACAAGCTCCATATTAGTTATTGCAGGTTAGTTGTGGGTCAGAATTCAGATCAGAACCAGGTGTTTTTAACATTATGTGTACATTTTTCATGTCAGTCCTTGTGGAGATCAATCCTTGCAGTGACCCACCCGTGTGCACTCAGGAAGCACCACTATGGGCTTGTTTTTCACTTGCACACGAAAACAGGCATTAAAAACAGCACATTAACTTGGACTGAAGCAACAACCATAATTTTAGCCAGATCTGATAGAGTCTTTTATAAAAGCATTTACATCCCATTAGACTTTTCCAAATTGTATCCCACTGAATACACAAACTTAAGCATGTTTGTTGCTTTTTTTAATGTGGCAGAGCAAAAGAAAGTATTGTTTAGATGAAGCCTGGAAGTGCAGTCAATCTGCTGGTCCCATCCATGGATCAGTAAAGGTGAGAACATTGGCCTGGTTGCTTTTTCACAGAGATATTTAGCATATGCCACATAGTGGGCCTCACTACTGTCAGCTGCAGGTGTAGTGACCAATAGTTTTGTCATCAGCAATTAAAAATGTAATTTCTAATTGTGAAGTTGCATAATGTCTGATGAAGTAGCAAAATAAGATGGAAATCTAATATAGTTATTTAATGGTAAAACTAGGTTTGGCTAACAGCTGAGTGATTGAGCAAGATTCCTACGGCAAGTCTTGTTCATACCTGAGAGAAGATTAGAGATCGGGAAAAAAATGGTGAATGCAGCATTTTCTCCAAAAGCACTCAAACAAACGATTTAAAAAAGAATTAGTTTGTACGAATGCTTTTTTGCATCAGGCCCGATTTTAAGCGGTTGCAACAGACAGCAGTTTTTCTCCGATACTGAGCAGATCGGAAAAATATAAATAAAAAGCACAATAAATAAAGTACATCTCATTGTTTTTGTTTTTTTTTTGTTATTTTGTATTCAAACAAGCAACTCTTAAACCAACACTAGGTAACTTTTCAACCTTCAGAAAAATATTTCGATAACTTGTGTGATATACATCAAATTACAAATAGAAGTGGCAGCAGGGGACAGGAGCCATACCTAACCCACCCCTGCATTCAGCCAGGTTTCAGAATACATAAGACTAGGACTAGTTTAATTTATATAGTTCATGAGGATAGTTTTCTCTGCGATACATAAGGCAGTGAAGATGACATAGAGTGAATCTCTGTCTAAGGTGACATCATCCAGATTAGCCAGTAAACAGAGAGCAGGGGAGAATATTATAGCCTGATTTTTTTATTTTTTGAGCATATCTGGTGTAGGTATCAGATCTGCTCGGGGCCCTGCCCCTTCTTATGACATCATCATATGGCAGCGCCACTCGGACAAACTGTGTTGCACCCATTTCTTAAGAATTGGATCTCTTTTGGAGTCTCAGTATATATTATTATCTATATTTTCTATTATTTTACATTTCATTGGTGATCTAAAGTAGCCAGAAGTAAAAACAGTCATTGTCAGTCTTGGCTTCTAAAAAAGACTGAACTCTACATTTTAACAAGGTGACAAAAAAAAGTCTCGCGCTACCCAGCTCTCTCCCGTTATATCATTCTCTTGCAGTTACTTTATCCCCATATTTATCAGGTAAAACTTCATTGATCACCAGACACGCTAACATTACAGATGCTCCCTACTTGGCACACGGACACTGCATGATGTTTTTGTCGTTGTCTGGGCAAGCACAATGTATTACATCATGTGGCAACGTTCAGCAATCATATAACGTAGCTTCACTGGCAAGCACAGGGCCAGAGCAGATCTGAGCACCCTATCAGATTTGGTCCCTACAACGGGACCTGGTGCCCTAAAACCATTTTGTAAAGAAATGGCCGTCTGTGCTTCCAATGGCATAATACCGCCTTCACCATGCTCTCTGTGGCATGGTGGTCTGTTTTCTTAGCTTAAAAGCATTTGTATGTTGAACAAAATGTTTACAATTGCTAATCAACTTATTTTCATACCTTAGGACTTCCCTTGGTGTTGTTTTAACAATTGTTCTCCTCTTGTCACTGTTCCATTAAGGCCAGCTCTGCAGAGAGCAAAGCTGACAGTTCCTGCTGACAGATTGTTCCATCTGTAGAAAGAAAACAAGGAGTGTACATTTGCAAAATGCTTGAGCAAGAGGTCAAAGGTGAGCGCATGTTAAGGCACATGGGCAGTATGGCTTATTGTGCACTGTTGTACAGAAGCACAGAGGTCTCTTCAAAGCAGTCTCTTCCTATATGCTGTTGTGTACTGCGAGAGGGTCAATTTGCAGAACAAGTCTAAAGTGAGGGTGTGTGTGATGAGGGTTTGGGGGGGGTCTCTCAACCCATATCCTCAGCCCACAGGGCCTGCAGAGAGAGCCCCTAATATGGCAAATGAATGCATGAGCGAATACAAGGGTGTATAACTGAATGAATAACCAAAGACCATTTACATAATTGCACGTGGGATGTGTGTTTTCTAACGTTTAGAGCCTATATTTGCATATTTGCACTGTATAGAAATTATTCAGTCAATACTGAAGATCCATCATGTAAATACAACTCCTTTGAAATAACGGAAAATACAGAGTTAAAAAAAAAAGCGAGAAGAACTCATATAATAATCATGTTAATGACATTCTCTGTCCCGGGAGAAGCTCTCTTTCCAGCCTCCAGAGCAATTACTGTCAGAATCAGCAGAGTGATCTGAAAAAACTATGCTGTCACGTTTGCTCAGCAGGTAAGTATAAGGCAGAACGGCTGAATAAAAAGAAGAGGAATGTTTTCTGTGCCATATCCTTTTTTCATCTTTGTTTTTCTTTCTGCAGGCCCTCAGCACTGATCTAAGCTCAAACAAACCATCTATTTCAAATGTCAAGGGGGTCTTTGTTTCACACATGTGATCACAGTTTGCAAAAACTCCCTGCAAATTGTTGCCACTGTCTTGTTGCATCATTTGAAGTGTTACTTTCCTTCATGTCGTCCTCCTTTATGATCAAGGCAGACATGGGGGCTTATGCACAACACTGTTTCAACTATTCAAAAGCTGCACTATCACTCTACATTCCTTTTGTTGTTGTACGAGGTGGGATAAGAGGATTGCTTTAACCTTCATATCGCCTGTCGAAGAATGAATGCAGGTGGGCTTGGTAGTATTGGATGGGGGGGTGGGAGGGGGTCAAAGTGAAAGAGTGGCAGATGAGGAGGGATATGGAGGAGGAAATGTAGGTACCAGAGTGCTGTGGTGACCTGCCTACCCTTCACCTTTTGTCTCTCCGTGTGGTGCTGTTAAGAGTGCCGGAGGAGGACAAGTGAAGAGTCGGACTCTGGCCAGCAGAATGGCACCCCTGCCTGGGCTTTAACCTCTTCTCCCTGCTTCCCTTCATCTTGCTGGCCTCCAGCTATAAGTGCATATTTTCCCAGTAAGAGTGGGAATGGGGGTTGAAGTGAAGGTGGTGTATTTGAGAGCTGAGGGGATACAAACACCTCTAAGGCCCAAATGAGGAATGTGTAGCTGTGTTTGACCAGGTCATTCAGTTTTTAAAACAGTTTGAAGGGACTGGAAGCTTTCTCTCTTTGTAATGGTATGCTGCATTTGGTTTATGGTCTTTAATTCCTTCTTTTACCTGTAATCACTCAAGTTTCTCTAGTTTGGCTGCTGTAATTCAATGTGTCATGAAATAGTCACAAAGGCAACTGCTTTTGTTTACAGGCTTTAACCTGCTAAAATGCTTTTTGGCTTACTTGGCCATGCATATAAGGGTGGCTGCTGGAAACATGAGAGGATCTCCACTGATATTTCCTCAAAATGGGGTGAGGGGGTGGATGGGGGGTAAATGAGATGGCCTGAGGGAAGGAGGAGGCACTGATCAGTGTCCAGCACATTAGGCACCACTCATTCCCTCACACACAATCATCTCATCATATGCAAAACAGCAACCTTCCAGGGGGGAAAAACAAAAACATCCACACTAATGAAACCCTCGCTTTTAATGTGATTCTGAGGAGAGTACCATTTGGTGGAGATGGAAGATGTGGTACGTGACAAAGGAATATCAAGGAGCATATTATGTAGAGATTACAGATAAATGTATTTAAAAGTAAACTGTCTTCTCAACATTTGTAATTTTTACACTAAATGTCAGAGTTTTATCAGCTTTGTGCTTTAAGGTGAACACAACTTTTGATTTATATGAAGTGGTTTGATGGGTAGGAGCTGATAAAGACCAAGACCATCTAGAGCCTTCCTTGTAAACAATAAGTTCATTTGCTCATACAACAGTATTTACTTAAAATATAAAACATTTTAAACTTATTTTTAACAAATATTGTTTAAAAACTCTTTGCCATACCTTACATATTTTAAAGTAGCCAAGATACAGCATCACTGATTATGCCATTAAGTCTTTGTGCCAGGTCAATTTGGCATTCCAATTACGAAAACTAACATTCCAGGTGCATATGAAGAAGTTTTACTTTATTAAGTATAAGTATGTTGTGATAAATGTGACAATGTTTATCAATATTATCCCCTTATAGCACATTTTTTTATGGTATGCAGAGTCCCATTTAAGCCCATAAGTGAGTTGTCTGTAGTTAAAGGTTTTATTTATTAGTCATTAGTCAGATGTGGTAATACTGTAATGAGGACCATTACAGGACAGGGAGAATGCACTCTAAATTAGGAAAGTGCAAACAGGATTTATCTTGGAGTGAATTGTGTTTTTGATGTTATAGTTATAGTAGGCATCAACATATATGTCTCTGTTGATTGTCTAGGTAAACAGGTAGGAAAAGGAAGCACCATGCTTACTATTAGTGGTTCACATTGGGATCACTGGACGTTCTGATCCCACCATCCTTTGTGCCACAGGACATATAGACAAAAGGAATTCTGTGACTCATGCAACTTCATACGTTTTGGGTTTATAATGGAGAGTTTCAGCCATTCAGCACATTTGTGTGACTTTTGTAGTTATTTTCCAAAAGGCTGTGGTCAAAGTTTGTAAAGCATCATCCACGCCTGTTTTATCGTGTATTGACATCCATAAGACTGATCGGCCTTTTTTCCTTTCTTACCAGTGATAGTGTTTTTACATTTACCCCACGAAGGTGAATAAAAGGAACTAGGGGCTCCAGTTTGATGAATTGAGATGGAGCAGGGGATTCTCAGGCACATGTAGACAGTGGTGACTTTGCTTTGCTTTTAAATCTGAGTTAAAAATTGTATCTTTGCTTTCCCTTACTGCTCGTTTGAGTTTCTTTCTCACTGGAAAGTTGCTTTAGTTAAAAAAAATGTGAAGCTAAGCATAGGAACTCGGATATCTGAACTGACAGAGAGCCACGTAATGGATCAACACCACAATTACACCAAATCGAATCAGCATAGCAACACAAGTCTACGTGTATGCAAACATGTTTGTATACTATGTAAAGAAGAGACCACAGATCATGACAGAGAGATGGTGTGCGATGTCTTATCTGAAAATATAAAAAAAAATATATATATATAAAATATATATATAAAATATATATATATAAAAAAAAGCTATTAATTAATAAAACTGATTAATCATCCAGCCCTACTGAATTATTATTATTTATTTATTTATTTTTTTTTTTTTGAGATTATGAACCTTCAGAACAAGGCCTAGCTTGGCTCGGTATGTCCACCTTTCTCTGGTATATGGTCCATTTTTCAAGCACTTTGCTTTTCTGTCTCTCATAGCACAGCATTCAAATCAGTAATGTAAACAAAAGCTGTTACAAGTGGTGTAATGCTGACTGCAGCTTGCAATACTTTGCAGGATCTGTTCCCTTTCGAGCATCACAGCTGCTACTAAAGTTCATTACACCTTGATGGATAAAATAATTAAAAAACATTGTTTCTAACCACTATAGTCTATTACACACGAAGCAGAAACAGATAGGGATATGGATGAGTATTACAACCAGCAGCCCCAGTGTTTGGTCCGTGTAAACCAGTTATGTCCAGTCCTCGAGGGTCGGTGTCTTACAGGTTTTCAATGTTTCTTGGCCACAGCACAGCTGATTCTGATTGCTGCAGTTTAACAAAAACCTGTTAATCAGCTACCAGTGGAAATCAGCTGTACTGCAGCAGAAAAACCTGTAGGACTGTGGCCATTGAGGCCCAACTTTGGACATGCCTGGTGTAAATGAATCAAGAGCATCAGTTAATAAACAGGACTGATTATCTGTGGTGTATCTGCGCAGTTTCACAAACTTCAAAATATGGACTCCACAATAAAAACCAGCGTGCAAGTAGGTATGTGAGGAGCAACTCACAGCAACTAAATGAAGCAATGGTAGAAGATATTTTTCCTGATGAAGTACAGGACCTTAAGTTAGATTAATGTTGATATTCTCCAATTCCTAAGAAAATTTGTCAATAGAACTGACCTTTGTTCTCAAATTAATAGGAGATGAGCTGGACTGAGGCATTCCAGATTCTTTACCAGACATGAACCAATATAATTTCTAAAAATATAGCTGACATTAAGCAGGAAATAGGGTCCTTCTGTTAAAGAAAAAGCAGTAAAAACCAATGGTGCTCTCCTCGTTCAAACAGCAAACATGGGCTGAGGTTGTTTACACCAGCTGCAAGTTCTGCCACAGTTAACACATTTGTACTCCCTGAATACTTCATTTATTAAACTGTGCCAGTGCAATTTGTTCACTTAGCTACATGCCTACCTATTTGTTCCTTTACATGACAGGCTAGAGCTTCCTGTCAGGAGTGGTTTTATTTCCTCTCAGTGTGCTTCCAGCATTCAAATGTGCTGAACACACAGAGTGCATTGGGGCGGGAGAGGAAGAGATGGGAACAAGACTAAGCAGAGTGAAGTAAACAACGCTTTGGCTCCTTAAATAAAACATTTGTTTGTGATTGAGGCTTCTTGATGTGAACAGCATGACCTGTTTTACTGGGAGTCTCTAAACAGCCAGCTTCGTCGCCCTTACAGAAAATGATCCCACTCCGCTGCCTGAGGACTCCAGGCCTAATTTATATTGCATGAGAACAAATTTTTTTGACAACTTGAGTGATAGATTCATACAAGGCCCAAATGTTTTCGTTTTCAACAGAGGG